TATGACGAGGTTCATAAGAACGCCCAGTCTATGTTTGCCTGTCCTGCAGACCCTGAACTTTTCAGACGAGCCTGCCGATGAGCAAGCTACCATCGCTTTCGCTCGCCCGCAACTCCGGATTGCGATAAACTGTATGGGCCGGCCTGGGCAACACAGGACCTTGACTATCACAGCTATCCTGGCTTGGACTCCGTGGCTGTTCGGTCTCAGCATGTTGTATATGGATGGTCGGAACCTCTGGTACATTGTGGTTCTTGGAGAAAGCTGAGCGATATTTCGACCGTGCCGTCATCTTGGGCTGAAAGCCATGTGACGGCATGTCCGGTCGCTCAAGGTTGCTGCATTCGATGAACTCGTCGTTACGGGAGGTTGAGCGGGAGCTCTTCGGACGGCTGATGCCGGTTATCGAACGGCGGCGCCCCGAGTCATCACCGGAGGTGAATTTGCGGGCGACGATGTCGTCTAGGACAGATTTGAAGTCGTCGAGGAAGATGGTGTCGGATGCGCACTTGAAGACGAGGGCGAACCGCCAGTATGGGTTGATGCCGCTACTTGCTGTGACTTTCGCAGCGCTGACAGCAACGTCGGTGAGTAGGAAGACAATGGAGAGTATCATGCATGCCAGCATGACACCAAACCTCCTGTTGATACCGACAAGAGTCCAGAGACTGAAGGCGTAGGTCTTCTTGATGGCGTGTATCAGCTTCCATGTTGTAAAGATCCACCAGGGATCGCGAAGTAGAGCCTCCCACGGCCTCATGCGAGGGTTAATGTTAGAGCCGTTTGCAAGTTGGTTGAAGTAGGCAAAGTTCGACCACGCCTCTGCTATCCAGAAGGGTTGAACACAGATAAGCGAAATGATGAAGAAACGTGATCCCCAGAGTGGTAAGAAGGGTCGGATCTTGAGCCACGAGACGACGTTATGGAGGAAGTATGATATGAAGAGTAGGGTCGCAGTCGCGCTGAGGTACCAGCCATATTTCGGGTCGTCGACGAAGATGAAGGTGCCGTGCCAGATGGCAAGAACAAGCTGAGTGGATTAGTAATTGGTATATACGACGAAACAATTCGCCTGGAGAGCAACACTGAGACATACCTCAAGTAGAATAAGCTTGTGAAGCCACATGCCAGAGCGGTAGTTGCAGAAGACGATCAAGATGAGAATGATCAGAGCGCCGACATTGTATCCTTGAGCCCATGCCTCGAGAAAGCCGCCCTCGGTCGTCATGCTCTCTCTGTTTGGTGGCGAAGTACGCGTCGTAGCCGTTCCAGGGAATCGCTTCGCCATGGCCAGCATGTCCATGGTGCTGAGAGGTGCCATTGTTGTTTCTTGTCAATTCTCAGATCAGAGCGAAGCTGAGTCCGGAGCCATGTAAGGCGACTTTGTTCACGTCGCGTATGAAGTGAGAGCGCGTCGACAAAGTGGGGCCGATCGTGGGCGAGAAGACGGGTGAGTGGCAGCAAGAGGCGTGAAAGAAACCCGGGGTATTGCTGCCTTACATAGAGTGGCAGAACCGGCTTTCGGGTAGACGTTATAGCAAAATGTAACGTTCATACAAACCTCTGCCGCCCTTCCAATGTGGCGGGACCGGCAACAAGGCGGTTGGGCTGGGTGGGCACAGCGAGGCTTTCAGGGCTGCTGGCCGCAGTAAGCCTCTCGCGCTGGCCACGGAAATACGGAACACATGATTGCATTGCCATCGCGACGGACATGCCGCGGCTCTAAATTCTGACAAACATATTGCGCACCAAGTCTAGGTTGCGCAGACGTCTTATTGCGCGACGGAGCAAATAGGCGGAGCCGGGTGTTGTTGGTGTGATGCGTTGTTGATCGGCGGTGATGTCAGGCGTGGCTGTGGTTGACAGGGCTGCCTTCATCTGCCTGAGACGAATGCGAAAACCTTACGCTGACTCGACGCCAAGGTCTGTTGAGCCTCATTTCAAGTAGTACATAGTAGTACATTTGGGCGCGCATTCATAAGAGCTACTGCAGTAGCGGTCAACTTGATTTCCACTACCTGAGGGCGAGCAGTCAGCGAACCTCGCGCGTAGTGTCTGTGTTGGGCGAACTGCAAGGAGCGATCGGTGTAAGCACACTAACTGTACGACGGAGGACGGCAATGAAGGGGCGATCAATACCGTGCCTGGCAACAATGTAAGCCAAGGCAATGAGGAAAGATGTCATACTGCGCAAAAGGAACAAAGAGGTTGTTCCAAGATCTCAGATGCGCAGCATGATCTCCTCCGATCCTTCCATCAATCTGTCACGCCAACGAGACTGCATCAAAAGTACAGCAAAGCAGAAAAAGCCATGAAACACGCATGCGGATGTCGAAAGTTTCTCTAAAAGTCGTTTCTATATCTATGATTACATTACGGAGGGTGACGTACGATCTATGACCCGATTGGCTGCAAGCGCTAGGACTCAAACTAAGCCAGGGGCCGAGAACCCTTTAGCAGAAGGAACAAAGAAACTGCCCAACCTCTCTCGTCTCCCCCATTTGCATTCTCCAGGAAGCCTTGTTTCTACCCAGTGTGCGTCTTTTCTTCTTTGCCCGCAACCGCTATGCGCGTCTTGCCCCACCGGAAATCGTCCATCCTCCACAGCGTGTAGAACTGCGTGCAGACGTTGACGTAGGCTGCGGACCAGGTATAGGCAACGCAGCCAATGACCGTCTGGACAACATCGATGAACGAATCGCACGATATGAGGGTGACCATTAAGTCGAAGACGCGTCGGTAGTACTCGAAAGCTACGATGTAAAATATGGTCCGATCGTCCAGGTCACCTGTTAACCTGATGTTAGCAAGTTTCAAGAATCACAGGCTGAGTGGTACGTACGGAAGAATCTCGAGATGAGAAGCGCTGGGTTCTGCACCCAATGCGTCAAGGAAGCCAAAGCAGAAGCTCTCTCCATCCAGCCTGTCGATTTGCGACTAAGGAGGAGGCTGTCGCTTGTGAGCGGCCCCAGCGTCCATCTACGGCGTTGACTGACAAAGACCGAAGGCGTAGTCGGTGCCGTAGTGTACGCCCGCGCACTGAGGTTCACACGCGTCCGGACGTGGGCGTAGTGTGCAATGACGAGACAGACGTGATCTCTGTCCTCGCTCATCATGGAACGGACGGTTCGAAACAGACCATCGGAAGCCTTGGGATAGTATCCAAATTTCCCCAGGATGAAGTCGCCCATTGTCTCCTCGCAGACTCGCAGTAGTTGACAGCAGCCAGGCAGGCACGTCACCTTTCCACTTGTGAGACTCTGGCGCAGGCGACGCCGGTGCTGGCCAACCATGTACTCGGCGTTCTGATAGAGATACGAAATTGTCCAACCTCCCAAAGCAATCGGGTCTGGTCGGATGTAGCCGGTTACTCCCACGATCTCTTCGCCTTCTCTTGCGGTCTGCATCAGGTTGCGAACGCATTTGGTGTCGAATCGAGTGTCTGCGTCTATTCCAAGAGCGTAGTCCACTTTCTGGATGGATTGGGTCTCGAGGAAGCCTGAGAGCTCGGCAAAGAGCTTGGGCGAGATCATCTTCAAATCGGGGGTTGCCTTGCGCTGATTGAACTTGTTCAGGAACGTCCGGATGAGGATGATGCCATCTCGTTTGCCGCGGTTCTCGTTCTTGATAACGCAGATGATTGGAAGCCCTCGGAATTCACCCTTGATGATTTCAATGTCCATTGGGCCGTCGTCCCAGGCAGTGTACGCCTCCTTCATGAACGTGCTAGTCGGACGCTCAACAATATCTTCCTTGAGATGGGCGGAAGTCGTCTTGGTCATGCCCTTGCAGCTCACGCGACCATCACAAACTACGACAATAGCCTTCTTGTGATCATCCAGCGACTGCTGCTCAGCCAGCGAAACCAGCGAATTCATCATCTCCTCATACGACTCGTTGTAGCAGCATAGCAGGTAGACCAAGCTCTCCGGTGTTGCGGGGATCGTGATCTTAGGCGGGTTCAATCGCTTTCGGATGAGGGCATGGATGACCATGGTGATTTCGATCATATCCACAACGGCTCGAAGAATAAGGTTCGGAAAGAGGACCCAGGAATACTTTGCCCAGTTTGCGAACATGTACATTATGAAAAGGCTGAGTAGATCTATTAGCAACTCGTGTCTTGCGCATTGGGGAGTGATGGCGTTGATCCACGTACTTGAATGGTATTAAGATGGCCCATATTACATATTTCTCAATCCTGAGACGATCCGTATTCACATCAGGTAAATGTTCGATAGCGCTGCTCAGAACCTTGGAGGAGAAAAAGCGCGATCGTTTCTTGAGATTGCCTGCAATCTGAGCGCCCGAGCTCGCTGTATTGAGGACATCCATCTTCATGGGGAAGATTGGAATTCCTGCGTCGTGATGTGGTAAACGGCGAGTGCTGCAGGAGCGAAAGATGCTATTCTAGTATTTTGTACAAACGCCATCTACCTTTTGGAATTCAGGGTCAAGTGTCAGGGTACGAGCGTCAAACTAAGCATCTCCACCATGGAAGTTTGGATAATCTCTAGAACGCCGGCTAGGCGATGCAGTTTCAGGCGGTGTAACGCAGGGACGCCAGGGACGGTGACAGGGCTGATCACCGAGGTACCTGCAGGCGGCGTAACATCTTGTGCCTGCGTGCGTGGCTTTCCTAAAACACATTTTTGTGGCGATTTTTCATGCTGAACACGCATTAGTTCGGAGGTACACCGGTGAGTCCAAACATACGGACCGCTTCGGAATACTTGGTAGTACCGAAGCTAAGACTTGGCGCGTAGCGAGACTCGCTGCTAGTGTATCAATACCGGATGAAATTTTGCCATCGCAATACGGTTATGTCTCAGTGGGATTGTGCGTTCAGTAGAGTATCAAGATAGGAGTAATTTAGCGAGTTCAAATATATACCTCGTCCCTGAACCATGTCGTCTCTGGGACTTCTCGATTACTGAGCTTGTTATTTCGTACATCACAATTTGTACAACCACGGATTATCACTGGATCCCGGAATTCCCATGGAGAAGTACGATCAGAATTCCGTTGTTGCGATCATCGGAGTGGGATATGTCGGCGAACATCTCATGGAAGTCTTCTCTTCCGCTTACCAGGTTATCGGGTACGACATCTCGGCTTCTCGAATAGAAAGACTGCGCTTGAAGCACTCCCGGAGAGACAATGTCACATTCTCAACCGATGAGACTGATTTGAGAGACGCGGCACACTTTCTCGTTTGCGTACCGACCACCCTGGGATTGAACGGCCAAGTCGACTCCTCACATGTTCGCAGCGCAATAGACATGCTGCAACGCTACGCAACCGACAAGTCGATAGTGGTCATAGAGAGTACCGTTGCTGTCGGCATGACAAGAGCATTGCTTGGGCCGCTGGCCGGATCGCGCGGCATCCTTGCTGGGATGTCACCAGAGGTAGGATGACTTTTTGGACCGAAAGAACGAGGACTGGCTGACACCCACCAGAGGATCGACCCAGGCCGAATCGAGCCGCCGCCTAAATCAATACCAAAGGTTGTCTCGGGGCTCGACGACATTGCCCCGGGCTCGCTGGATGCCATTGTACGATTGTATGAGACGGTTTTCGATACTGTGATCCCTGTCAGCAAACCCGAAGTCGCGGAGATGTCAAAGCTGTATGAGAACTGCCAAAGGACGATAGCCATTGCGTACGCCAACGAGATGTCAGACGCTTGCCAGGGACTGGGGATCGACCCGTTCGAAGTGGCACGCACAGCCGCAAGCAAACCTTTTGGGTACCTGCCCATGTACCCTTCATTGGGAATCGGGGGTCATTGCATCCCGGTCAACCCGATCTACTTCATGTCGACGTGCAATTTGCCGCTCCTCCAACAAGCGCACGAGAAGATGATGTCGCGGCCGTCGCGAATTGCTAGCCAGCTTCTGGCAACTATGCTAGACGAGTGCCACAAGAAGCATGGTTCGACACACCGCCCCCGGCTTCTTGTCGTCGGAGTCGGTTTCAAGCCTGGCCAGTCGGACCTTTCACATTCACCTGGCCTGCAGTTGCTGAACTACATGCGACAGTCGGGAGAGGTAGATCTCATGTTTTGCGATCCTCTGGTGAACCAGGAGGCGATACCCGAAGTATCAAGATTAGAAGAAGGTTCTTGGCAGCCTGACGTCTTGAGATCGTTTGACGCCATCGTCGTAGCGGCGAAACAACCTGGCTTAGATTACACAGTTCTGGAAACCTTGGCAGATGTGCGGATTGAAGTCTGGAACCGATGATAGCTGACGCGGGCGTCAGAGGCCGACACATCTTCAGTCGCATTCGCAAAGAGGCTCTATTGGTTGTTTGGCTGGCCATGTTCTGTACATTACGGTTTTCGCCTACTTAATGGTAATACACGCCATCTTTCGTAATCGGCCCGAGGAAGTGATCGTCCGGTCTTCGCATTCGGTACCCAAGTCAAGACCGGCTAATTTTGTCTGCACAATTGGAGATCGGGCCTAACGGGCGTTTATTTAGTCGATACCGGCGCTTTGGGGCATTGGCCCCTGAGGTTCGGATGTGAGCGGTGAGCTGTTGCACTACCACCGATGGAAACTCAAACACGCGGCGAACAGACGTGAGGGAAGCTTGTGCAACCGGCTTACGGCCTTGCTATGATCGGAACGGATGTAGAAAAGCTGGACAGCGCCGCATCAGTCATCCAGATATCCAATTCATCATGAATAGTGCATTGGGGGCTTACCATCCATTCTACTACACTCCATTGGGAAATGTATGCCCGGTGATAAATCCACTCGTCAACGTTGAGACTATCAACTACGGAAGATGTGGACCAGGAGTTCAGCAAATTGAGTGTAGCCGTTGCTGCTCGAAAGACGTGAGTAGTTGAGATCTTGATACATCAACTGCCGTCTTACTCATCATTTCGAACAGGGCATTCGCATGACACATCCAAACTTTGCTGGTCAACATGCGTGTCTTTGGGACTATGGGTTAGCATGCGATGGCACCCAATGGCCTCCAGGATTCAATACATCAGATACGCCTCGGCCGAAGCTGGGAGATGTTCCCTACGGAACGAAGATCTTCAATTGCAAAGTGGAAAATACGCTTGCTCTCACGTACGATGATGGTCCCCGGGAGTGGACAGCGGATTTGCTAGACATCTTGAAGGCCAACGGCGTCAAAGCGACGTTCTATATCAGAACAATCAACCTGTACTGGGAGCTGATAGCCCACAAGTTCGACGAGAGGTCTGCGCTTATTAGAAGAATATACAAGGAAGGACACCAGATTGCGGGGCATACCTGGGGCCACAAGGACTTGGACAAGATGACTCCGCACCAACGCAGAGACGAACAGATAAAAGCAGAGATTGTCCTCAACGACATCCTAGGCTTTTTCCCGACCTACATGCGCCCGCCCTTCAATATCTGCGGCCCTGAGTGCCAGGCCGAAATGGGAGAGCTCGGCTACCATGTGGTGAGTTTGCAGAGAGTAGCCTGAAGGACCAAACTGACTGTGCCGAAAGACTGCAGCCGACCTTGATGGACGAGACTGGGCAGGTAATTACACCTACACGGAAGAGAATTTTATGGAGAAGATCAAGGGCAAGAACCGTAACGGGGTTCGGGCCTGGTTGGGCCTGGCGCACGACACCCACGAAGGTACCGTGCATAGATACACACAGTTCATGATTGACAACGCACGGGCGCATGGATACAAGCTGGTGAGAGTAGGGGAATGCTTGGATGACCCGGAGGAGAACTGGTATCGGGACCCTTTGACGGGTGACAGGCCTGTCGAAATGCCTCCCAGAGACATGCCGTGATCTATTCTTGTAGTTAGCCTTTGATGATAAGCAATGATGTGAACCAGGAATCTGCCTGTCAGCAATGCGGGGATGAAAGTCAGGACCGAAAGTCAGAACCGAAAGTTACGTGCAGTCCATCCATGGATGGGTGCTTGATTAGTGATTATGTTCGGGAACGCGATGACGTCCCTGTCGCGTGCGGAAGATTGTCCGTGCCTCCGCCCGCGTAAACAGCTGTACCAGCAAGCCATCATCCTCATATACCAGCAACCATGTCTCGCACCGCCATACCACGTGCCGCACTACGTCTTAGCTCAAGAAGCCCGTTATGCACATCTTCGAGGTCAATTGAGGCGCCGAGCCGCAGTCTGTAAGCTTCAATCGCTGCTTTGCGCAAACTTCCCCGCTCACACCACTTAGGTTTATATTGCGCCCAACACCACAATGCTCGTCTCACGCCATCCGGAGCTTCTCCATAAGCACGCAATTGCAGAAGAAGGCCGGTAAAGCGAACAAAGCCCATGCGCGAACCGACTCCGCACCTCCCGTCAGCAACCCGGGTCCGCTCACTCCTACCGACGAGGCCTACGATGTCTCGGGCTTGGAGGCACAGATCCTCAAGGCCCTAGAGAAGCTTACGCATGACCTCAGCCAATTGCGCAGTGGAGGAAAGACGAACCCTGAAATCGTGGAGAACTTGAAAGTGCAATTGGGCACGGCAGGAAACAAAGAGACGGTGAGACTGGGGGATATCGCACAGGTTGTTCCCAGAGGGAGAATGTTCAATGTCATCTGCGGGGAAGACACGGTAGGTAAAGCCGCTACTACGACAACACCAAAAATGCTAACACCACACAGCACGTCAAGCATGTCACCAGCGCCATCGCCGCCTCTCCACACTCGCTCACACCCCTCACACCCGAACCCTCCAATCCTCTCACCATCCAAGTCCCGCTCCCACCACCGACAGGAGAGTCGCGTCGCGCAGCCGTCGAGTCGGCCGTCAAAGCTTCTGAGCGAGCAGACAAGCTGATACAACAAGGGCGTCAGGAACACAACAAGAAGCTGAGGAAGTTTGAGCTAAATCGCGATGTGCTGCCAGATGACCTTCAGAAGGCGAAGAAAAAGATGGAGGAGGTTGTCAAGAAGGGACACGAGGAGGTTAAGCGCATCAGTGATGGTGCGAAGAGGGTGCTTGAGAGTCAGTAAATAAATGGAATGATATACTGCATAGCCAGGAAAGTACAACGGTACCACATTATCGTATGCAAGGGTTCTAGTGCACTGTGCATGCCATTGAGAGGTGTTGCGCCTGGAAGGTTTGTGTGAACTCTACCTCAAGTCTGCCTCAGCAGTTTGCATGTGCTTACACAACATCTTAGCAAAACGGTGGCCAATCGAGCCATCACGTACTATCTCATACACATGGTACAGGGTTTCAATTGGACGATGTAGCAGCCAATATCAACACGAGGAATGCGAGCGGCTCAGCCTCCACAACAGTGCTTGGCGCGACCGTCGTGCATCATCTGGTCACCACCAAAACCACCACATATAGGGAGTGGCTAGCCAGATTCACAGGCCAGGCTCCATATGTAGGAAGATGACCATCGCGAGGAAGAGCTATGGCGACTGTCATAGAGTCAGATGACATTGGTACAATCAGGCTTGGCGGAGCGGACGATACGAAGGTATGTGTGCTGATACCGACAGCCTCTCGCTGAACAGATGTTGACATGATCAGGGCACTGCAACCAATACAACGTCTATAACCCCGGCTGAAGGTGTTGTGGTTACTCGCCTGCCTATGGAAGACGACCTCGAGCTACCACCTAGCACCGAGACCAAGTCGATCTTCCACATCTACGAGAAGCATAAGTGTCATAAAAGCATTACGCCAGTCCTCGATCCTACTCTGGAACGACGGTCTGGCCCAACGATCAAAGAACAGAAGACTACACGCAAGGAGAAGAAAGAGCGTCAAGACGCTGGACTACTTAGTGTAGAACCAGACGATAATGCTTTCTTCCTTCACCGACCATACCTCGCCTTCCACGTACCGCCTCGCGTCCTTTACACTGGCAGCAATAAACACACCGCGCAACCAGCTATCCTGGTACACGAAGGCTGTTTCTGGAAAGAGTACAGGCTCCAACTCCTCCCATCGACCCTCGGCATACTCGACCCACGCGGCGTAGTACCATGGCGTCACAACGGCGGCGACAAGAATGTGCTGAAATGCGATGACCACAAGCTCAAAGGGTACAAAGTGCGCACGTGGAGGTTGTGGGGTGAGACGGGCAAGGAACACGTTCGTTCCGTGAAGAACACCCGTAAGACGGGCGAAGGAAGAGATCCCGATGTGAATACGATGACGGATGGCAAGTCGAAAGAGCCTGCGACGGCCGAAGAAGTGGTGTATTTGCGGTGGAAGAACCCTCTCTCACGCCACACGAGATGCTATCACTTTCAATATGCTGGTATCGACTTCTTTTGGAAAGGAACAGGTACTACCAAGGAGACTCGAACTTGTGGTGCTTTGTTGCGGTTCAACCATCTGAAGTTAGTCGCTAGGCTGCCTGTGGCCGAAGAGAAGAAAGAGAGGCGAGATGAGGTGTGTTTGGGAGTATACACGTCGTCTGTTGCGAGTAGAAAGAGTGGTACTTTGGAGTTCTTTGATCCTGTTATCTTGCGTCTCATCAATGAAAACGCGCCCGAGATGCTACTTCGAAGTGAGGAAGGGGCGGAAGAAGAAGAGGCGGAAAGTACGAGGATCTTGCGGATGAAGAGAAGTAGGATCTATCAGGTGTTTGTAGCTACTGCTATGTGTATGATCAAGAGTGAGAAGGAAAAGAGACATACTTTGCTGGATTTGCTGGTGAATGTTGCTGAAGGTGGTGCGGGTGGCTAGTTATGGATGGTTGGCTTCTCTTGAACATATACCCCTGTCTGAATGTACCATTAGGTGTCTGTTATAAAGTCATGACAGTGTATGCATGCAGTTTGACTGTAAGGTGTGTTGGTGTTTTGATGGAGCCTCGGCTGGTCGCTATCGATAAGACTCGCGCTAACCTGGAGGTCATGACGTGGGAGATGGCCATTTCTGATATTTCGACGCCGCCACTCCTCCAACACCCCATCTCCCTTCGCCAACCCTCCTGTATGCCCGCATTTGCGTTTCCGAGACAGTATACCTGCGCACGCTGTTTGCGCACGAATCGAAGATCTAATGTCTTCGTTCCATCCCGAGCCACGGCGACACGGCCTCTGAGGCGATACGGGCAGACGGCAACACAGCGCAAAAACGAGTATGACGGGAAACAGGAGCAGGAAGACGCAGGAAACAATGGCCATGGATCAGGCGCCAAGGTCGAAAAGGAGGAAGGCGCATTCACGCGACGCATGCGAGAAATGAGTGAAGACGCGCTGGAATCGGGAGGTCATGGCGCTGTCAAAGCTGTGGAAGAGGCAGGCTTCAGTGCAGACCTCAAGGCACAGCTCGAACAGCGAATCGCATCTGCAAACCTCAAGTCGTCTGAAGCAGAACTGCCCGCCTTCGCCTCCCGCCACACACGCGAGCTTGCCACAACAGAAGCCTGGACCGGCACCGAGTCCATCCACGATGCGAGCCTGCGCATGCTGAACGACGCCCATAAGCCGCTGCGACTCGGGCGACCAGCCAAGATGCCAGGTGTTCCTATACCCCAGTCCATTGATACCGGACATGCTCGGAGCAAGGAGGGGCGGGGCGTGAGATTGGCCAACGCGCGCGACAGGAGCACCGTCTACGCTTCCATCAACGAAGACGAAAGTATAGAGGCTTTCGATCGAGAGAAGCGGTTGCAGGACCTCAAGGACCGCTTCGAACCAGGTGCGCGCACCATCGTTCCTGGCTCTATCCAAGGCATCGCATCTCTTGCGAATAAGAGAATCGAAGATGCCATCGCTCGTGGCCAGTTCAAGAACATCCCGCGCGGAAAGCAGGCCAACATCGAAAGAGACTACAACGCATCGAGCCCCTTCATCGACACGACCGAATACTTTATGAATAAAATTATACAAAAGCAAGAGATCGTACCGCCGTGGATCGAAAAGCAGCAAGAGCTCACTTCGGCAGCAAACAAGTTCAGAACTCGACTACGGGCGGACTGGAAGAGGCATGCTGCGCGCGTGATAGCCAGCAAGGGCGGATCGCTACTGGACCAAATCAAGACAGCTGAGGCATTCGCAAAGGCAGAGCTGATTGCCAACCCTCTGAGAAGGAAACAACAAGAGACCCTCACCACTGTTGACGATGACGGGCACATGTCACAAATTACCTTGTCTGGAGGACTGAAGGTAGACTCAGATGAAGGGCCCAACGCGGAGCCAGTAGTCACGGAACAAGTCGTAGCAAAAAAGGTTACATTTGATGCCTCCCCAGAAGCTGTAACGCAAGACCCAGCAGCAGCTACCGTAACAGAAACAACCACGGAAACCATGGAAGTACCTGTTCAAGCTCCCGAACCAACAGTCGCACCAGCACCGTACCCTTTCCGCGACCCAGATTGGGAGCGTATCGAAGGCGGCTACTGGAAAGTCGCCATCAAGGACCTCAATGACAAGGCGCGCAGCTACAACCTCCTCGCACCCGAGCTAGCTAAACGACCCTACTACAATCTGCAGCGCGAGCTGAACTCCTGCTTCGCCGACGTCGCGCCCCAGCTCGCCGGGGCCATCCTCGAACGCGCACGCAAACCGCCCAAGAAAGCAGATAGTTGGCAGAGCTCCGGCCAGAAGAGCGTGCTCGACAACATCATTGGAGGGCCAGTCCGCGTGCGAGATGAGCGCCGCGAGAAGCAGTATGGGTTCCGCCAATTTTGGAAAGACCTCTGGGCCGACAAGTCCAGCAACCCTTATTGAGCCACTCACCACCAAGCCCGATCCTCGCATCCTCATGCCCGCGGACTCCGAAACCTCTCGTCACCGTGTCCTTTCGAAACCCACTCGCCCACCGTTGTATGTAGCTACCGCGCCCTTGCTGCACGACATCGAGAGAGAGGAACATGATCGACACGCACATACGCTTTCGCCTATCCCTGGTTGTAATCCTTCGTAGCGACCTCGAAGTCAGTGATCAGCTCCAACTTTCCAGGTTTTCAAGTTCTTGTTCGGTGCTTGTCATGGGCATATGCACGTGTTTTCGAATGGGGACGGATCTACATCCTTTGACCCGGAATGAGCGGTGCCCCCCGCTACCGACGCCCTGGGTCGATAACGCAGGCGTGAGGCGTCGGGAGTGCCGTGACGGGCAGGGGGGTTGGATGAAGTACTACAGCCGTACACCACACCACAACAAACACCAACAAGACGCATCCATGGGGTTTCGCGACTACCCAATGTCCCAATCTGTCGTCAGCTGCATGAGTCCGCGGAGCTCGGCGAGTCCGCCCTACGTGGGAGAAGAAAGTGAGGCGTTTGTTGTTGCTTTCGAACCTGTTTACCGGGAAACCACGTTCTCTCGGATTCGGATACGCTTAATACGCGACTTTCATGCGTGAATCTCGATGGTCGCGTTTAGCCAACTATTGGTCTCTCTGATATACGCAAGGGAGACGGTTGCTTAGTTGAGCTGACCGGGTTCAGCTCCTCGGCTCGGATGCATTGTTACTCAACCGGGCAGTACCTGCATATGCGTTCTCGGGTCGCTCAAGCGGCAGTTCTAGGCGGTACTTCCATGCGTTTTCCTGCTCTATAGCCAAGCGTTGTAGAGCTTACACGAACCCGACAGCCTGTTAGCGTGTAGACATGCGCCGAGGTAGAGAGCAAATTATGTTGGTTATCGGTGTGCATGTCGCTTTCTCAGCACCTCGCGTGTATGTATGTGTATGTGTGGATGACGGATGACAGACGGCAGCGGAGTACACCGCTGCGTTATGGTTGTCATGTCTTGGCGGCTTCAGATACTTGGAGTAGGTCGCCGATATCCGGGTCTCTCTTCCAATTACTTCGCCTTTTTCATAGTGTTCGGGATGTCTCACTGGTTGCTTCATTTTATTCAGCACTATCAACAATACACGTGCGGTGATGCTTGGGTCACCAGTGTCGGGATTTGGCGGGTTGCTCTCGATACGAGTTTGTACTGTTGAAGCTCGCGAGTAATTTACATTGGTGCGTTCTACTCGCCAGGCGTGAGATACTGTACTCTGACGTCGATCGTGATGCTTGAAGTTATCTGCGTATGCACTATCAAGTTGCCGATATGCAGCGCGGCATCCCGTTCGAAGATCAAAGCAAAGAAGACGTCAGACCAGTATTGTTGTTTGCTTCTTCCGTGTGGGGTAGTGGAGTAGCCGCCCCTGTCCTTTAGCACTATCATGATAGCGTATACTGCACCCGCATGCACATCATTCACATCTCAGAAGAACACATGAACGAAACGCAAAAGCAACATCACTTTCCAGTCCCCAGAAGAACTACTCTTGAGTCATTGCAAAGCAAGCATCATTGGTGGAACAACCCATCCCTTTCAGAAAAAAAGGTAACATTGTCGATCCCACCCCATTACCATCCCCACACACACCTCCATCGAGCCAACTAACAACATACGTCTAACCATATCGCGTAATCCTACTTTCCATTGTATCCAAAAGCAGTAACGAATGTGACCGTTTCCTTCTTTCGCAGGTTCCCAAAGGGGAACGAGCATACTACCAAGCTATACCGCTTCCAGCGACGACCGCAATGCCTGTTTCTGATGAGATGTGACAAGACCCGCTTTCGTTGTGGTACGTCGGTACCGAACTGAACAACCACGTACCCGCCCACACCTGTGTGGCAGCTGTCACAGCGGATGCGGTCTAGCCCGTCAGCTTAGCCACGCGCGGTAGCGGTGCTGGATGCCACACCCACGCTGACGGCACTGTCACTGCGCGTTCTGGAGTGGTGATTCGAGCCGGTGGACGAGTGCCTCTTCTCCTTGCGGACCGTGGTGCGCTGGCGTACGGTATTGCTGACCTTCCGTTCGGTTCCGGTCACGACCCGCGCGTTGGGTAAGGCTGCATCCACGTCGACGTCGTTTGCGTTGGAGCGAGGGCTTTCCTTCTTCGATACGTTCTGCGTGTTTGCTGTGCGGTTGCTGCTCTTGCCAATGCACGTCTTGTTGGTAGCGCCGCTGGCTGTCGTCTTGCCTGCACCGTCGTATGGCTGGCAGAAGCAAATCCGCAGTATGTGCCCGGCAAGCGGTCCGAGGACCCCTACTTCGCGCCGAGCTGTGGGTTGACGGGGGTGTACTCGTTTCTTTCTAGGTCTGGCTGTAGCCTCACCTGCGCAGCTTCGGGGCATGCTAACGTATGCGGTTGCTGCGGCTCTACGGTTCGCAGCCTTTCGCTTGCGAAGGACCCTTCCTTTTCCAGACGAGGTGCAACTTGCGATGATGGCCGTGATCAATCGGGCTCTGTGGAACCTCGCCTCATATTTGAGGTCCTCGGCGAATGATCGAGCTGATCTGCGAGGTTTGTAGCGCGGGCGTACATTCAGCTTCTCGTACGAATGACGCGGTCTGGAGCAAGGCGCAAGACGTTCGGTTTGCGCTATGCCGTCACAGCCTTGAACTAACGGTGCAGGCAAGATGAACGAGTCTATGGAGGCAACCGTAGAGTCGATCTGCGACTGCTCAGGGCGTTTGTAGTTGTGATGGAAACGTAGGTGCATAGGGAGCGGAACCGAGGATGTGGGTGGTGTGGTCATTGGCCTCAAAGAGGGCCTTGGGGGTGGCAGGCATGTCGTTGTCGGGAACGCACGATAGGTTGCAGGTGTGGTTTTGTTATCGTAGTACGATGTGGTTGCAGTGGGTGAGCCGCTGAAGTCCGAAGCGCTCGTAGTGCCTGGCGTCGAACTACCCTCTGGCTGGATAAGATTGCCGGACGGCGAGAAGAATGAAATCTTCGGTGTGTCGTAGTTGGGGCGAACGATGCCCGATGCTGCAGCTATTGGTAGTAAAGACGTCAATGCGGATGAGGTGATTGAGCGACGCGTAGGTTCTGCCTCAGCAACTTGATCCGGCTCCGGAGGTGACTCAGAGAGTGAAGCTTGCCGTTCTAGCTCGGCCATCTGCGGAGTGAACCATACTGGCGCGATAGGTGTGGGCGAACGCGAGGGACGCACTGGATGAGGGAAGTCGTGCTGAAGGTCGACATCGACACCAACTACTGTTCCCGAGTAGGAAGTGGACATGGTACTACAGAAGCTCGCATTGTGACTAGCCTCAGTCGCGTGGTCATGCTCTGTGAGTGAATGGTTGTTCTTACCTGCACCATAAAATGTGTGTCCAGCTGAGATAGTGTTGTTGGCCTCGTTTGACAGCGTTGGTACTCTAGCGCTACCGCCATCGTGCGCCCCATCGCGTGCTTCCGGGTACACAAGACGCACAGAAGAGGACCGTTCACGCGGGCGGACTGTAGCCGACGGTGGTAATAGCTTTGACACGGCTCCAAATGCCGTTTGCGACTCGAGCGTATACGGGTCGACGTCAGAATTGGGGACTATCGCATGAGCTGAGAAACTAGGATCAGCCATGGATGACTGCCCGTTTCTGGCCTGATTCTCTGAAGCTAACGCTTTAGTCGCGCTTAGGGCCTGGGATGCAGTAGGGAAACGATATGGCGTGTCAAATGTGTCATCGCCCAGTTGAGACATGTCAGATGCCTGCAATTGACTTTGTAGGCTATCCTCGCTCGCACCCGGCCGATCGCTATGGTTCTCAACGAGCGACATCTGCGTCGAGGACGACCTAGACCGGGTTCTCGAGGCAGCTCGAACATTGTGTATAACGCCACGAAAGAAGCTTTTGACATTGCTGGTATTAGCGTCGGAGTCGGCCTTGCCATTCCGATGGGTAATAGATTGCGATGGCTTAAGACTGGGAAACGCGGATGGGATTGCGGCATCATCAGCCCGGAACGAGTTGCTGTAATCCTTGCACAAGGGCACATCGTGTGTATTGCTTGGTGCTTTCAACAGATGCCCTCGCTGCACATCTTCTGTGATGCGCTGGAGAACATGTTCTTCTGGTGTGTATGAGATTCTGTGTGACGAGCGCGTCGGCGAGGCATTTTCCACCACACGGAGTGAAGGGAAGCGGCCCACGCTGAGGAGGGAGCCATGTGAGTTTAGCGTCGAGTAAGAACCTTGCTCCACAATAGTGGCTAGAGGCGCGCCATTGGAGCGATTTGCGAGCCGAACGGCAAGATTGTAGGGAACGCCTCGAGCTCTGGCCTGCTGCTGATATTCCATGGCGTGCTGCATATCTCCGGTCCCGGTAATATCGTGGCAGGCATAATCATCGTGATCTTGTGCGATGTAATGCCGATCGCGCCCTTGGCCTTGCGTTTGCGGTTGCATTTGCGACGAGCTCGTACCTAGGAAAGCTCTGTAATAGGCGAACGGATCCGGCTGCATGGCATGGGTCGATCGGAAGGACGGAGTGGCGTGGGTCTCGTTCAACGGATCTGATGGAGCTGGACCACATATTGGTTCCTGGCCGTTGCTGCGGTCTAGTAGACTGGCGTCGCGGGGCTGTGCTGTAGGCATGATGCTCATGTCCTGTCATCGATATTGTCAAAGATGAGATCCGATCGATGCTAGATCATAATGTGCATGAGTGTGGGACCCTGCTGATAGCAGAGCAACTTTGTTTGTGCGCCGCAGGGCATCCTGGGAAGTAGCAGGCCTTCCGCAGCGCCCTTTCCGAGATTGTATTGTTTAGGCAGGAGCAGCCATGACCTGCTCCTGTGCAACCGCCCTGTCGTATCTCGTGGCGGCTCATTCACCACTCGGAGGGCATGACCACGGCCATGGTATTCGCCGACTAAAGTCTCCCGAATCGTATGACCATTGCAGTCCGCCTAGGAGACAGCTCCAGTGTTTTCTGTCCTAGCGAAGGGAACATGTTCGACGCGGCTGTGTGCGGAGGGCCATCCAATCAAAATGCTCTGTACTCGCAGCCCCTAAGCCCCACGACCCTTCCTGGAATTGGCGATGATGCGCAAAAGCAAAACTGTTGCTGTGCTTCTTCGACCTCAACGTCGGACCCTCCCGTACGCAAGTACATCGCTCCAACTTGCTCGTGGCGGTTGCTCCTGCATGCAGACCCTATGCCCCAGCCTGCCTATCTTTGGCTAGCGCCGCTGTGAGATCATGACCCTTATTCATGGACAAAGTGCTCATCCAAAATTGATTGCACAAGCAGGTGATTAGCGAAGGATTCGAAGATCACCTACGCATGCCGCAAATGGCTCCATCAAGAATGCTGGTTTTGCATAGCTTCCATAGCCTCTGTTCACAGGCTGCACAATCAGAGTCTAATGATCGGCAAAACAAGCCGGGTCCGTACAATCAGGCCGGCGACGGGATCAAGTGGGTCGTGCCGCTTACATTGTATACAATGCGTTGGGAGACGAAACGGTGCACTAATCCAGGTTCGCCGATACGGAAAGCAGGCTGGCTAGTTTGACGCAGTCTCCACACAAGCGACGTACTTAAGGCTGGGGTAGCGATGAGTTGGCCAGGTTCACCATGGACCTTGTAACCTATCACGGTCGTGACAATTATAGAGCTCTGTTCCGAGCACATGTGGCTTGTCGTACGTCTTCTTCTCCATGTACCTTCATCCATTGTTGACAAAGTCCCAGGATAGCCTGGCAAGATTGAACTGCAGAAGCGACTTCCAGCTCACACCATCCACGAGCTCTCAGAGCTACTGCAGCAGCAGATTGGATACGGAAAAGCCGCCGTTTATCCATCACCGATGTAACGGAAGGTAACAAGCGATATGTCACCTATGCGATCCATTCGGTCGGTGCGAGTGCGCTGAGAATACTGAAAATAGACACGGGATGTGTCTCGTTGTCGTCAACCTATGAGCCAGCATGATGACGGTAAGCAAGGGGTAACTTTTCCAGGTAGCTGACCGGTACTGACCTTCGGCAAGTTCAATTCGTGGTGGTCGCCAGCCGTGCGCTCGCTGTAGACTCGTTTGGCTCGGGCTTAGCCCGGCTAGAGGAGGCTGCACGACGCGGCAAAGCCTTCCATTGCTTCCAGAAGCTGTACGATTTGGTACATGTTCGATGAACAAGATCCGCCCAGCAGCGAAATGTGCATTTTTCTCAGTCTAGACACACGGTTGTGAGACTGCTCACACCTGTCCGGTCAATTGTGCTGAGTCAACTTCCATGCTTCAGTGGTGAGTGTTATCGAGCCCTGGAAAACGCCCTTAAGCCAGGCTTACTGATCACATTGAATTTCTGTCCGTTGCCCTGCACTTGACGGCGATCCTTACCTCCAGTAGCTGAGGGCGGACACAATAAGTATCACGCTGGGCCGTTGTTGACAGCTGGATGGCCTTTGGGCATCTTGAGAATTCAAGTAACTTGAATGTCTAGCCTAGGGTGTGATTTGTCGACCTGTAGAATGGAGTGGATTATTGATCTCACGTAGAGACATGACTCAGTTCGGGCCGTGCTTTCTTGCACCCACGCTCTCCAAGTGTGATGCTCTTCTTCGAGCGCCTTTGGTCCGCAGGAGCTGGGCGTGACGAGCCGAGCTCCATTCACTCCGCCCAATGCGCCACGCTCGTGAGCCATGTAGTCGTGCTCCGCGCTTGGGTGGCATTGGCTGGTCAGAAAGTCTTCGAAGCAGCCATCTCCCTGCCGACCGTGGATGCTTGTCGTATTCCTGTCTGACCAGCGCTCAAGTCCGTCGACCTGATTCTCGGGATTGCATCAGGTCCTCGACTCACCGGCCCGATGATCGCAGTGCGGATGTTGTTTTGTCGTCAGGCTAAGCTACACTATCGCTGATTTAGCTAGCGCCAACAGGAGGGTATAATGATGTGGAGAGATCTACAGGTCATTATGAATCGCTGCACGCCCATGGATCTGAAGCTATGTCCTCGCAGCAAATCAGAACAGCGGTTTTCGACGCATCTACCTGCCGTTGCTGCACGGGAGGATACGCGAGACCCATGTGATCCACCCTGTCCACGTCAATAGATCGGCGCTGGCCAGGCATAACACCTAAGATTCGCTAGCTGCATGTGAAGCCACCTCGAGAGCATGGCGCCGGGGCCAGGCGAGTAAGGGTGGGAAATGGGTATTTCTCGAATCAGATCTCCATTATCTCATAATGTGGCGTATGCGCCGTGTCACAGCGGAAGGAAAGAGGACGGGACGGACCTTGATTGTCACATGACAGCGACTCCATAAGATCTTCCTGCACGGCTGTCGACCCCAGATATAAGACAAAGAGACCTGACTTTCTGTTTCCCATTTCTAATTTCACCTGAGCTGCTCTTTTCGTACCATTGGCGTGATGAACGATCCTATTAGGGAACGTCGCCATATCATGACCCAGCCGCCTCTTTCCCAGAGCGCCAGCAAGAGCGAGCTTTGCAATCGACTTAAACTCAGTGAGAGTACACACAGACTGCTTCTCGTAAGTATTCGCCTGACAATAGAAGGCCGTCCGCTAACCCACACGCCCTCCGTAGGCCGAAGCTGTCGCTGCCAGAAACGCATTGAGCTCAAACCGCTACAATTTGACCGAGCAATCGAGGGCAGACCCCTCTGTAGCAGAACCATATAGATGGGACGAGTTGTCGGAAACGTCGAAACATCTGCATATTTTGATGATCGTACGCGATGCTTGCGCGGAAACAAGACCGTATTATGACATCGGTCGTTACATGCTTCATGTCAACGAAGAGAACTGGGTCGCGAGATGGTACCTCTGGCATAGCTTCCGTTACAGGTAGGTCGACTAAGGTTGTCGTGCAGCTGGGCTCGACACTGATCTTTGCAGAGACAACCGACCGAGGGAGCGAGTTCCTAATAACAACGGTACGTGTATTTTTGAGTCGATGAATAGATGTTCTGTTCGGTATCTGGTGCAGGTTAACTAACGGATAGTAGGAAACAAACCATACTATGATCCCGCACGCGACCATTACAACGGACGACAGCCCTAGCTTTCAACACCAGGAACACGTATACTTGCGACGGCATCTGTTTTTGTAGATGTTGTAGGTGTCGCGTAGGTTCGGTCCATGTTGGATGATGTAGGTGTTGCGGTTTCGGTCTACTCAGAGGATCTGTTTGCTCTTCGGGTGTGTTTCATCCAACCGTGCCCTTCGTTTTCTGGTTTTAATACTTGGTTAAGACTTTTCCTTTCGAGTTTCGATGTTTCGGTATTGCTGGTCGCAATAAACGCTCATTCCAATTTCGGTTGTTGTTGGCCGCAGTTGTTCCTGCGTTTCAGGAATTGATGACGTCCTCTCTTGCTTTGCGTGCTCTTCTGCATGCGCGACATGTCTTCATGTTACCCCAATATTCATGCCCTCAGTTGCTGCATCCAAGCTGCGCCGTATCATACCGCAAAGAAACGAAGTGAGGATGAGGTTGTGAAAGAAATGTGCCTCGTCGAGTTACTCAATAAGTGGGGCCTCTCCCAGGTCAGGGGTCCAGTGCCTGCCGAAGCAGCCCGGGCTGGTAAGAAGACATTCACTTTGGCAGGTGCGATGGACCGGCGGTACTGTGCACTTATCAAGCATTGCGAGCCTTCAGTTAGCGGTGTAGAGATTCTGCTGATATTACTTCGTGTTAAGATACATGATCCGAAAATTGTCGGCGTCTATGCACCTTCCGACCCGATGAGGTATTGATCACACATGTGGTTTGTAGCTTTCAGCATCACTTTCGGTCATGGCGGACCATTTTCGT